AGACTGAGGGTAACGATATGGCCCACTTCTCCTAGACTGAGGGTAACGATATGGCCCACTTCTCCTAGACTGAGGGTAACGATATGGCCCACTTCTCCTAGACTGAGGGTAACGATATGGCCCACTTCTCCTAGACTGAGGGTAACGATATGGCCCACTTCTCCTAGACTGAGGGTAACGATATGGCCCACTTCTCCTAGACTGAGGGTAACGATATGGCCCACTTCTCCTAGACTGAGGGTAACGATATGGCCCACTTCTCCTAGACTGAGGGTAACGATATGGCCCACTTCTCCTAGACTGAGGGTAACGATATGGCCCACTTCTCCTAGACTGAGGGTAACGATATGGCCCACTTCTCCTAGACTGAGGGTAACGATATGGCCCACTTCTCCTAGACTGAGGGTAACGATATGGCCCACTTCTCCTAGACTGAGGGTAACGATATGGCCCACTTCTCCTAGACTGAGGGTAACGATATGGCCCACTTCTCCTAGACTGAGGGTAACGATATGGCCCACTTCTCCTAGACTGAGGGTAACGATATGGCCCACTTCTCCTAGACTGAGGGTAACGATATGGCCCACTTCTCCTAGACTGAGGGTAACGATATGGCCCACTTCTCCTAGACTGAGGGTAACGATATGGCCCACTTCTCCTAGACTGAGGGTAACGATATGGCCCACTTCTCCTAGACTGAGGGTAACGATATGGCCCACTTCTCCTAGACTGAGGGTAACGATATGGCCCACTTCTCCTAGACTGAGGGTAACGATATGGCCCACTTCTCCTAGACTGAGGGTAACGATATGGCCCACTTCTCCTAGACTGAGGGTAACGATATGGCCCACTTCTCCTAGACTGAGGGTAACGATATGGCCCACTTCTCCTAGACTGAGGGTAACGATATGGCCCACTTCTCCTAGACTGAGGGTAACGATATGGCCCACTTCTCCTAGACTGAGGGTAACGATATGGCCCACTTCTCCTAGACTGAGGGTAACGATATGGCCCACTTCTCCTAGACTGAGGGTAACGATATGGCCCACTTCTCCTAGACTGAGGGTAACGATATGGCCCACTTCTCCTAGACTGAGGGTAACGATATGGCCCACTTCTCCTAGACTGAGGGTAACGATATGGCCCACTTCTCCTAGACTGAGGGTAACGATATGGCCCACTTCTCCTAGACTGAGGGTAACGATATGGCCCACTTCTCCTAGACTGAGGGTAACGATATGGCCCACTTCTCCTAGACTGAGGGTAACGATATGGCCCACTTCTCCTAGACTGAGGGTAACGATATGGCCCACTTCTCCTAGACTGAGGGTAACGATATGGCCCACTTCTCCTAGACTGAGGGTAACGATATGGCCCACTTCTCCTAGACTGAGGGTAACGATATGGCCCACTTCTCCTAGACTGAGGGTAACGATATGGCCCACTTCTCCTAGACTGAGGGTAACGATATGGCCCACTTCTCCTAGACTGAGGGTAACGATATGGCCCACTTCTCCTAGACTGAGGGTAACGATATGGCCCACTTCTCCTAGACTGAGGGTAACGATATGGCCCACTTCTCCTAGACTGAGGGTAACGATATGGCCCACTTCTCCTAGACTGAGGGTAACGATATGGCCCACTTCTCCTAGACTGAGGGTAACGATATGGCCCACTTCTCCTAGACTGAGGGTAACGATATGGCCCACTTCTCCTAGACTGAGGGTAACGATATGGCCCACTTCTCCTAGACTGAGGGTAACGATATGGCCCACTTCTCCTAGACTGAGGGTAACGATATGGCCCACTTCTCCTAGACTGAGGGTAACGATATGGCCCACTTCTCCTAGACTGAGGGTAACGATATGGCCCACTTCTCCTAGACTGAGGGTAACGATATGGCCCACTTCTCCTAGACTGAGGGTAACGATATGGCCCACTTCTCCTAGACTGAGGGTAACGATATGGCCCACTTCTCCTAGACTGAGGGTAACGATATGGCCCACTTCTCCTAGACTGAGGGTAACGATATGGCCCACTTCTCCTAGACTGAGGGTAACGATATGGCCCACTTCTCCTAGACTGAGGGTAACGATATGGCCCACTTCTCCTAGACTGAGGGTAACGATATGGCCCACTTCTCCTAGACTGAGGGTAACGATATGGCCCACTTCTCCTAGACTGAGGGTAACGATATGGCCCACTTCTCCTAGACTGAGGGTAACGATATGGCCCACTTCTCCTAGACTGAGGGTAACGATATGGCCCACTTCTCCTAGACTGAGGGTAACGATATGGCCCACTTCTCCTAGACTGAGGGTAACGATATGGCCCACTTCTCCTAGACTGAGGGTAACGATATGGCCCACTTCTCCTAGACTGAGGGTAACGATATGGCCCACTTCTCCTAGACTGAGGGTAACGATATGGCCCACTTCTCCTAGACTGAGGGTAACGATATGGCCCACTTCTCCTAGACTGAGGGTAACGATATGGCCCACTTCTCCTAGACTGAGGGTAACGATATGGCCCACTTCTCCTAGACTGAGGGTAACGATATGGCCCACTTCTCCTAGACTGAGGGTAACGATATGGCCCACTTCTCCTAGACTGAGGGTAACGATATGGCCCACTTCTCCTAGACTGAGGGTAACGATATGGCCCACTTCTCCTAGACTGAGGGTAACGATATGGCCCACTTCTCCTAGACTGAGGGTAACGATATGGCCCACTTCTCCTAGACTGAGGGTAACGATATGGCCCACTTCTCCTAGACTGAGGGTAACGATATGGCCCACTTCTCCTAGACTGAGGGTAACGATATGGCCCACTTCTCCTAGACTGAGGGTAACGATATGGCCCACTTCTCCTAGACTGAGGGTAACGATATGGCCCACTTCTCCTAGACTGAGGGTAACGATATGGCCCACTTCTCCTAGACTGAGGGTAACGATATGGCCCACTTCTCCTAGACTGAGGGTAACGATATGGCCCACTTCTCCTAGACTGAGGGTAACGATATGGCCCACTTCTCCTAGACTGAGGGTAACGATATGGCCCACTTCTCCTAGACTGAGGGTAACGATATGGCCCACTTCTCCTAGACTGAGGGTAACGATATGGCCCACTTCTCCTAGACTGAGGGTAACGATATGGCCCACTTCTCCTAGACTGAGGGTAACGATATGGCAGCAGCAGCAGCATCAGTAAGTAAAAGGTAAAGTTCGAACATCCGCACTACCACCGGTTATAACGCTACAATTGTGTTGAAGAGCACAACAACGCATAGGACGTGCCAGGCCACGGCCAGGCCCAGGGCCCAAGTCGGTTGCAAGTCTGAGTTTCATCAAGAGTGCATAGACAAGAGTATGCAACTGTGGTGATGGGTCTGTGCGCGGTGCGCTGCCTTCATTACGTACTTGTCTCCGTTACGCTCTGAAAGCATGCACTCAAACCCACAATTTCTTGTACAAGCACATCCATTTTTGCTCGATTCGCTGGAGCACCTACGCGATCTCTAAACTTTGGTACGTGAACTCTAGTTCCGTACGAAAGTTCATTTCAAACCAGAGGGAAAGTGTGGTGTTTGATTTTCCGCAGTGCGACGACTGCAGCTGAATGATGTACTGAAGGCAGCACGCCGCGCATCTGGCCTATAAAAAGAAGGTCACATTTACACACTCTTGTTTATGGACTCTCGGTTCCATGCTATACAATCATTAGGCTACTGAAGTACATTAAAGCGGAAGTATACCCTAAAAATCCAATTTTCACCAGTCGTAGTCTTCGGGGTGCTGAGTCGAATGGTCTTGGTCCAAGGAAGCTGAGGCACTCCCTTCCTCCTTTATTCCCAATCGAACTCACCACTTCCACCGAAACTGGGTGACTGTGCCGTACTAGATGGGGATTTGTATGCAAAATGTCACTAAAAGCGCCATTTCGTTCTTTTAAAAGCACGGATGACCGCGATTGGGCCATGTGTTGTAGTCTTTTGGACAGCTGAGTCGACTGGTTTTGGTCCTAGAAGGCTGCGATGCAGCATTCGACCCCTATCCCCAATCGAACATGGCTGAATAAGCGGTCAGGTGCTCATGCGTACACCAGCCACCTGGTCACCGTGTCTGCAGGGTACAACTTACAGCCTGTTTGGGTACGTTCCTGTCACACGAGTTGAACCTTTGAGTTGAACCTTGGTGTGAAAGTTGTAGCCTGCAGGCACGGTGACAAGGTGACTGGTGTACGCACGAGCACATGACCGCTTGCTCAACACGGTTCGATTGGGAATAAGAGCCGAACGCTGCATTGCAGCTTTTTCGGACCAAAGCCAGTCGATTCAGCGTCCAAAAGACTACAACATACGGGCCAATCGCGGTCATCCGTGCTTTTATAAGAACGAGATGGCGCTTTTAGTGACATTTTGCATACAAATCACCATCTAGTAGGGCGTAGTCACCCAGTTTCGGTGGAAGTGGCGAGTTCGATTGGGAATAAAGGAGGAAGGGAGTGTCTCAGCTTCCTCGGACCAAGACCATTCGACTCAGCATCCCGAAGACTACAACTGGTGAAAATTGATTTTAGGGTATACTTTCGCTTTAAGATGCTGTATGACTCGTACTAAATAATTGTATATCAGGAGGCATCATCATCATCATCATCATCATCAGCAGCAGCATCATCAGAAGTAAATTAGAAAAATTAGAGGCCTTTAATCGTTTTTTATCGAAATCAAAATATTTGCCGAGTTGGAAGGAGGGAATCATCAGAAGTACTGTATAAGCAGAAATATTCGTCTGGAATTTAATTTCGTCTTTTTCGTCCAAGGAGATTTTGGACTAAATTAAATGTAGGACGAATATCAATTTGTCCAGCTGTTCTATACACTCTTATGATCCATGGACGAAATTTTCAACCGGACGAACTCCTTTTCTTTGGAGTTGGACGAAATTATTGACCGACGAAATGTTCTGCCCCTACAGTAGTTGAACAGTCACGTGACTTACATGGCGGACCAGTCAGTATAGAAGTGTTGACGTACGCTTCGCATCTGTAGAAGACCGCTGGCGCGTACGCAGCGCGTGTGTTGAGCTCGTTGTCGGTGACCATAGCAACGAACACTGCACCCGTGTTGAGCTGCAGTTGACCATAGCTGGTCGTGCTGACAATTTCAACAAACTCGGCTTGTGTGGCATTAGAAATGTTCAGAATCTGCAGTGGAGAAAAGGACAGGAGCGCATCAGTCCACACCGGAACTAGAAGTCATATTTTCTGAAAAAAAGAAAAAAGCACGAGTCTTTTATTTTCAACCTCCCTTCAGCCGGTGATTTTTACAGGAGACATGCCATCATCGGAGACTCTGCTTTGACAGTTTCAAACCCACTCTGCCTCGTCACATTGCTGATATTGTGTACATATCTAGCAGACGTGCCTTTGCATGCTCACTCTCACGAGCATCTTCTGTGTCAAAATGTTCCCCTGAGTGCGTATTTTGCCCGCTTGATGGACCGCCTCCGGTGGAATTCGGCAACAATACTGAAGTTGCCATGGAGTTGCTGAAGTAGTACAGAATCTACAATGTATCTGAACAGAGCTTGGCTGCTAAGCGTGTATCATGTAATTGTTAACTCTCTAACCCGTCCAGATTGAATGTTGTCCTCACAGAGTGTGATTGCCTGATGTACTTGAACTCAGTGCGCAGTGGACCACCTGCAAAAGTAGAACATGTGCCAATAGCATCATAGGAGATTGGTTGACGGCCGTCTAAGGCGGAAAACGGCACCGCCAGCAGCTGTCACACAATTAGTTGAGCAAACCCAAGAGGAGGGGAGGGTAATCCGCGTACCTGCTACGGAGGTACAACACGCTGCTAGAAGACAAGCGGGGACAGTTTCTCGTTTCCTTCCCAACATCAATGGCAGTCACCTGAGCACACAGTATGTACCAAAGTCCGGTTCAAAAGCAGCTGCCTCGTCTGAAAAAAACAGGTGTGCGACCACCGGCAAAGTCAGACGGGAAGCTCCGCGAGCAATGGCTTTACCCGACTGTCCTGTGCCTTCGGATTTCTTCGTTGCAGCGGATTCACCGGCGACCAAGCATTGCGCAAACGTGTGATGGTGAGTCCCCCCCCCCCCCCCCCCTGCACGGTCTGCAAATTCCACCGTATTGCCTCAAAGACACACACGTTCCACCGTATTGCCTCAAAGACACACGCATTCCGCGGGCAAGGTGTCGACGGTGTGACGAGTGCAACCAACAAGCTGACGTGTCCTGTGACAGCAGCCATACCAACCTACTAAGTAGTTTGGCAGAATGGAGTAGCCCCGCTGTTTGATTGCGCCAATGGGGGTCAACGGCTGACGAGAGATAATGTTACAGGTGCCGTGCGCTGCCTTCTCTCAGCAGCTGGATACACAGTGATGTCAGTGACTATGCATCCCACTCGTTCCAGAACGGAGCTGCAATGACTGCAGCAATGACTGCAGCAACCACTGGGTGTCCCGGACAGTACCGTATGACTCGCAAGTCGTTGGAAAAATGATGCCTGCCTCGCATATCTCAGAGTTTCCGACAGTACCAAGTGCCAGCTTGCAGGGCAGATACCCCTCGTCGGCTACTCAAAGACCGTGAGTTCCCTCCATACAGAACATATGCTATTCACACTAGTAGGACCTATGCCAGCTTAAAGTGGCTGGAGCGGTACAACTTTCCAGGGGAAATTTGGACTGCATTTTTGAGCTTATCGGCAAGAGTAGAGATGTGAACATGTTTTTTGGTGAATCTCCGGAGGAAACCTCTCTCTTACTTCTTCGTGTTTTACTTCTACTTTTGGTGAAAAGGACCTTTTTCACCATAATTTAATTGGCTCACCATCCAAGTTGAACTTCTATTTTTGGACAAAATTTGAAAAAAGTTTTATGAATGGTCCGTGTTATTTTCCATGTCCCTTTCATAAAACGAATGTTGTCCAAAAGTAAAAAATAAAACTACAGCAAGTTAGGGGCCGTCCGGGGTTACCAATTGTTTTTACAAAACGAAACGTTTTAGTATTTTTCAGCCCCCACCCACCCACCCACCTTTACTGCAGGTAAAACGAATTCCAATAAAATATTGATGTCAATTTTCGACACCCAGAAGTAACTGGGCATTCTCCATCAGCATTCAATAATTATTTTCAAAACGAAACTCCATCAAACCCACCCACCCACAAACGAAAACATTTCGTTTCGAAAATATTATTGGTAACCTTGGACGGCCCCTTAGAGAGGGTTCTTTTCCAGAGATCAACTGAAAAACAGTCTTCAAATTTCATCTCCACCTTGCTGATAAACTCAAAAATGCAGTCAAATTTGCTCGTAAAAAGTTGTACCGCCCAGCCACCTGAACTGAGCCTCAGCTTTCCCCAGATTCGGGCAGGTTGGGACCGAGCATTGCCAGTAACTAGGAATTGCCCGTAATTCAGAACCTACATACTTACTGCATGCAAGTAAGATTTGGTGCCAATCAATATGACTGTTTTGGGGCCGCTTTTCGTTGAAAAGCCATTTCCTGTGACTGTAGATGAGTCAGAAAGATGCCCGGTAGACGGACGGGGCCGGATTAGGGACGGGGCCGGATTAGGGACGGGGCCGGATTAGGGACGGGGCCGGATTAGGGACGGGGCCGGATTAGGGACGGGGCCGGATTAGGGACGGGGCCGGATTAGGGACGTCCGAATCTGGGGAGGTTTACTGTACACCAGTGACCATTGCGTGTTTCTCTAGCTATATGTGTGCTGGTGTTCACTGGGTGTAGCTTCACTCATCACAACTGCCTTGTGCTACTCTGGCCATGTCCTTGGCATTCTCTTCGCTTGGGCCCGCCGCACTCCGCATTCACGTCCCGGATCTCTGATACAGAACTTGTGGCATTCCATGCTCTTCTCAATTCACACCGCTTGCTCCACACCACCGGTTGCTCCACACCAGCCCCCATACAGTCCAACTCAAACTCTTGTGTTTAGCTGTGGTTAGGTATGCTTGTGAGGAAAGATGTTTTACAAGCTTGTAGTGCAGTGCCGTGTTTTAAAAGTACGAAGTATTCTTGACACACCATAGAAAGTGTGTTCCAGAATGGCGCTATGCTGCCACATTCAGCAACCAGGTAGGTACGGGTGATGCAATACGGTGTTTTGCTTGCTTGTGTGCTGCAGACTCCGTAGTCACCAGCGGGACAGGGAGAGTGTTCTGCGGCGGTGAGAGTTTCCACTGTCCACTGCCCAGTGTACAGTGCACAGTGTCCACTGCCCTGCTGTCCACTGTCCAGTGTCCACCGTCCAGGGCTGATACCTGGCGGGAGGTGGGAGCTGGGCAGGCACAGAACTGAACAAACCTTCTGCACCTAAGGATGAATATTTACCAAGACCCACAGCGGAGTACATTACCGATGTCTGACAAAACATTGACGGCCTCTAGACATACCAGTTCAGCATCGGACGCCTTCAGTATTCCCTCAACCAAGATCATCTTCTTCATAGTTGACATGTACTTCTCGGTGGAGAAGACATCAGAACCATTTAGCACCACTCTGTAGAGAGTATAGGTAAGGCGATCAGCCGGAACATCAGCACAGGAACTCTGCGCAACTCCTGTTTGTAGAGAACAGAACACATGTACACACACACACACACACATGGGTACGCACGGGTACACACGCACACCCACCCACCCACCCACCAACACACACACACACACACACACACACACACACACACACCCAATTACATCACAACAATACATTACACCTGTCCATCGCTGAAGCGATAATAGCGAACAAGCTATGCTAGACGTAGCAACTTGTGCTGGGATTACACCATTCAACAGCTTGCAAGGCTGAAGAATTGACCGCCACTAAATTTAGCCTGGTCTACACCACATGGCTGATTGAAGTGGCTTTCTCTGGCCAGTGAATCCCTTTTTTTCCTTCCTTTTGTCCCTTTTTTACACACACACACACCACACCACATACTCCGGCATGCACTCGCTGTTGGTAACCACTCAGGAGAATGAAAGAAGAGCTAGGAGAATGAGAGAGAGAGAGAGAGAGAGAGTGCTTGTACCAGTGACATGCAAAAACGGTGTGTTATTTCTAGTGGTGTGCACGGGTAGTCGGGTACCCGTGCTACCCGTGAGGACATCGGGTAGACGGGTACAGAATAGTACCCGAAAACCCCAAGTCGCAGATGACATCACGTACAGCTGCACGTGCACAAATTCATGTAATACTCCGCATGTCTACCCAGTGTGTAAGGGAAGGGGTGCATTGTGGTGCTACCATGGAAACATTACCCGATCAGGTACCGGTGGAAAACTACCTGAACCCGATACCCGAAGAAAAATGCTACCCGACTCCGCCCTAGGTGTTTCATTAGTTCTGAGTTCTTTGTTCTGCTACCATAGACACAGTTCCCAGCTCTAACCGAAGCACAGTACAGTACTCGTACGGTTTCCAAGGTAGGAACAGCGCTAATGCACGCTGCAGTGTTGAAGCAGAGCCTGCCAACTTCTGCAGCACTTGAAATGAGCCCAAATACCCGAGCTGTTGCTTCCAAGCTTCCCTCAGGAAAGACATATCGCATAGGAACACAGCTTGTGGACCGGCCTAAAAGCAAGTATAGATGTATCAGTTCATGCAAAAAAAGTGATGACACGGCTGAACAAGCAATATAATTAGTCCCACAAGAAACACAGGTGAAATGATAACAGGTGGTGTGAGTGTTCACACATCTACAACACCAGGTTCAATGTACAGTGCATGCACATCTACAACACCAGGTTCAATGTACAGTGCATGCACATCTACAACACCAGGTTCAATGTACAGTGCATGCACATCTACAACACCAGGTTCAATGTACAATGCATGCACATGTACATACCAGCTGGAAGTGCAGGCTCAATGAGGACTCGGAGTGATTGACCAGCATCTTCCAGTCTTACGCCTGGTGAGAAGGCACGGTCAAACACCTTGACGGGTGCACCGCAGCCACCGGGGACAGGAGCTGAGGAAGAGCACAACGTGATAGGACACATACACACACACACGCACACACGCGCACACACACGCACACACACACACATGCATGAGTAAAAGCCAGTGAGTACACACCACTACAGTACTAAGCAAGTACTAGTATGTGCATGCCAGCCACGCCAATACAGCACATCAACGCATTGCATTGGCAACGAAACACCAACTGTAACGTTACTACACCATACCGCTGGGCACACAACACTGACATGGCGCTATGCAGCAACACTAAACATTCAATGAAGAGCTTGGAAATGTACTTCGCTGTCATGATCTGTCTCTTGAACAGTGAAACCCGTCAGTCAAAACTGAAAACACGTTTGTGCAAACGATGCCGCGACTTGTGTCGGGGTCTAGCCACTTTTAGAAGCTTGTTTATATAAAGACTCCCTCAAGCTTAAATACAGTCATTGTCGTTATGGAAACGCCACACGTACGCCCCCCCCCCCCCCCCCCCTCCCGTACTTGGCTTCAGTCCAACAGTGTCACCGCATCCTCGAAGCAACGCAGAGAGGACAGAGATGTTACTGCTACGGATACCGCCAACAACACTGATCCACCATCCAATGCCGTCGACAACCCTGCTGGTCCTGTCCAATTGTCGGGCCCGCATCTCAAATCCTACATACCGGTACTGTAAATCAACAAATATTCGGCTATTTTCGGCCAGGTCATGTTTGGCTGAAAATTATTTACAGCCGAAATTTTGTTTTGCAAGGTACAGTGTGACAGTGTGAACAGTCAGCAGGAATACAGACTGAAAATTTAATGCAGCCGAAATGTGTTTAGCCCTGGGAGGCCGAAATTTGAGTGGGCCAAAAATGTGTAGACTCACAGTACACGAATAAGCATTAGACTGCAGGGACAAGACGATTGCAGAGCAGCCTGGGTTCAGCAAATTGTTGAAAGCAGCGTGCATTGTTGAGCGTACAGAATATGTTCGCGGTGCAATCAACACAGCTGCAGAAGCAAACTTGATCGTGCTGAAGAAATCAAAAGGAGACCCATGTCAATTTCTACAATTTAGTCCAGCAACGCTCTGCAGAACAGCTTTTCTCCGAATTCGCCAGGCTGTTAACCTGGAGTTTTGACTAGCTCCCAACGAAGCGCCAGTAGTGTCCGTAGCTTGGTCACTTAGACCTAAGCGATTAGCAGACAAGAAGAAGAAGAAGCCTGCAGGTATAGCATACTGCTTGGACCAGAGACTGTCCCGTTGGGTGGAACAACCCAGATCGGGGGGGGGGGGGGGGGGGGGGGGGGAGGAGGTCTAGATACAGGGAGTTGAGCGCATTCACCACAACAGCTTTCACACTGAGTGCACAAGAGACAGTAACTAAGTGAAGTCATTATGACTACAGTCAGACCTCGCATAACCGCACACATCCGTTTTCCACAAAAATATCCGGATGGTGAGGGATCCGGATAAAAGAGGACCGGATAAGCGAGGTCTGACTGTATACGGCGGCCATGCACACTTACATCGCCGTCCTCCGGTAGTAGCTAGAACAAGAACCGGCACCTTTTGCAAAGAGCCATGCTGTGCAAGTTGAATAGCAACCTGAGACTCTTCGGGCACACCAGAGCTCATCATGAACACACCCAGGGACGTGTCTAGAACAACTCCGTCTGACGTGTTAGTCCAATTCTGTAGCGATGGCACACGACAGTAACGCATTTACATGACGCGCAGTGCAAAGTAACACATTCGCATGCAACAAAACATGCCGTATATATGCAGTTCTTGCAATGCATGTACATCTAAGCTCTTTCGAATGACTTTAAAGCTAACACTGGCATGAAAGCCAAAACAATTTCACAGTTCGCGCTGGGACTCAGTTAACTTAGACTGAGTTTTTCGTAGCCGTAGAAACGCCACCGCCCTCTGTGGATCAACATGATCAAGGTGCACAATCATGTAGCTCCTAAAGTGGTGGAAGGTGAGTAGATCAGACCCACCACAAACATGATCAAAGACTGAAAATCCCATTCGTTGCATCCACATTTCTCTCAAAATCCTTCCGCTCTCAAGCAGGACTTGAACCAGGTAGCCTCTGTGTTGTTACACTCTCCCATTATGCCTGCCTTAAACAGTCAAAGCTTCCTCCGGAATAGTAAGAAGCTCTGTGCATCACACGAGGCAACCAAGAGTGTGCAACTCTGGACGTGGGGTCTCCGACGGCGAAAACTCACACCCCGTGGTCCAAACAAGTTTCGTGCTACGCACAACGAAAGGCAACGTGTGCACGCTGTCCGGATATGTGCCATGATCATACTCGTGACTGGCATAAGCTGAGTTTTGGCCTGGAGTGGTGCCACTGTCACCAATCTGCTGACGGCTAAAAGCAGGCTGGGAGCGTGCATGGTGGACACTACACCGTGTGACGTTGGTTTTCGCTGTTGGCATCCCCCCATTGCAAACACATGTGCAGAGTAACAGTTGAACACTTTCGGGCTGCCATGATATCCACTTTCGGTGATACTGGGAGCACAGTTGCAGCAGAGCTCTTCAGACGTGCGTTACAGTGCAGCTCACGCAGCCAGTGCTGGTACACAACTATCGTGTACAGAGTACATTGTCAGCCACGGACCACATCGGTAATGTGGAGCAAAAGTATTTGTTGACGGTACTAGTACATCCAAGTAATTAGTTACGCTTGCGCATTCACCTGCTAAAGAAACTGTCCGTTGATTGCACATATCGTTCGAATGACTTTACAACGCCCCAAACCGTACTTAAGATCCAGAGCCCAGAGTACTTTCACGGCACACCACTACTTACTGGTATTCTAGGACTTGCTTGGTATCTAACATGAAGTTTATGTGCTTGAGTATGTGCCTGGGAACAAAGCAACACAAACCAATGTCAGAGACAAATATTTTATCTAATAGAATGGCATTGGCCAACGGAGGCTACGATGTCCCGCTCATCATTTCCTCCCAATCATGGAGCCCATTTCGGGAGCATCGTATCACAGCATTCTCGGACCAAGACCATTCGACTCAGAGTCCTGACCTTAAAATACCGTATTTGCCAGAGTATAGTGCGTACTTTAGATGTGCTATTTCATGGCCCAAGTCGCAGGTGTGCACCATGCTCTGGATTTGAAAATACATGTACAATGTACTTCAAAAAGTAGTGCAATGCATCAAATTGACAGAAATAGAGATGGATAGCCAGCCAGCCAGCCAGCCAGATAGATAAATAGATACTCAATCAGCGGACAGAACCGTTTCGTCCTTAGTGGGCCATGTGATAAATTTGTTATCGCATGGTTGCTGCGGGCCTTACGAGCTATGGCATATTATTGCCCCTCGATGTTAGCCCTTGGGCATCCGGCCCTCGGGCTAACCTCTCTGGGCAATAATATGCCATAAGGCCCCTCGCAACCATGCGATAACATTATACGCATGGGGATCCCTGGACCTGGCTACAGGTCAGCGTTAGGTTTTGTCCCTGCCCAGATTATTCTGCAAGGCTGTACTTTCTGGCATGCCTGCACGTGGACACCAGCTCACTCCGCGTGTTGATCAGCTACTGCTTGTCGGTTATGATGATCTTGGCCTTCTCATCCGATGGTAAATAAAATAAATACTACTACTACTACTACTACTACTTCTCAGCTGTGCACAGTGGGCATCTCTTCCTGAGGTTACTGTGTGCCCTTGATCGTCGGTTAATCTTCCATTCTATTGCATATCTAATGTTGCTCTCCTTCAAGTCCTATGCGAGTTTCGACAGTTCTGTGCTGTTTCAGTATGTGCCTATTCTCATGGATGTCTTGTGGTTGCCAAACCGCAGCTTAAAGGGGGGAGCTGTGAGCCCGAAATACCCCTTGGCTCCATTCTGAGTGGTGACAACTGCTTCGTATACAATAGCCTCTGCTTGGCAATCACCTTTCAGTGTGCAGTCTTGCTTAATTCTGCAGTTGCACGACTTCTGCACAGGGGTCTTGGCTGGATTTTTCCGGTTGTGTGAGCTGATGATGGATGCAACGTTTGGGAGGCAACAGTAGCTCACTTTCACGGAATTGCGGTTGAATATCTTGCTCAGGGAAGAGCCGTGCGGGAAGTTCTTGTCCACAAGGAGCAGGAATACAGCAGCGACATTGGTGGCGACGCTCTTTGAGAAGGGTGGATTGAACCAGATGATATTCTGCTTTCGCTGTCTCTTTCTTTTTGAATGATCCGCATAGTTCACATACTGGATGGGTTCTGCGCATATCTGCTTGCATGGATGGCGGCATTGTAAATGGGTGCAGCATCCCTGAATACTGACTCATCCGCCGAGATACTGAAGACACGCTATTCGATGGACTTTGGTAGGCTCTTCAGGATCGTAGGAGGGTGATTTGAGTGGATGTTTACGTATAGAGGGTTGTCACCAGGTTTCCTGAACGGCTGATACTTGTCCGTTTCGAGGTTGAGTGTTACATCTAGGTAATTAACGACCTTCAGGTTTACCTCTATCGTCACCTTAAGTCTGAAGGACTGAAACACAGCGGTTATGTCCTTCCGCACACGTTCCGCAGATGATCCCGGGGTATTCCTCAGCACGGCGAGTCCATCGTCACGGTATAGACCCATATTGCTCTTGTCTACGTGCTGAGATAGTTTAAAGAGGATAAGGATGCCAACCAGTTCACAAACCTCTGCTCCGTCGAAAGAACCCATAGTTACGTCGAAGAGGCTGCCGCTGCGGTTCTTGGCCCACGTCCTTTCGCCCTGGAATAGGAGACTTCTTGCACTTGCAAGCGCAACCCGATTGCATCGCGCAGGAACGCAACGGCAGCTTCAGTGTCATCACATCAGCCCGGAATAGCGCACACCGATTCACACTGGAGGTGCTATACATTCGCAGTTTGAAGCCAGAACTGTGCCAACAAAAGAAGCACATCAAGGTGCTGTGGCTGTTTTTAAAAGTCACAACCGGACTGATAGCTTTATCACGTGTTTGTTCTGGTATTGCATTCTCTTCATGTGTTGTTTCCCGCATTTTTCCACTGCTCCATACTTTCTTATGGTAGTGTAGTGTGAACTTGAGCCGCGTAAGAACATTCTTGCTGATTCTCTACCCCCAGTATAAATTCTGGCTTACAATGTCGTTCTTGCTCATTCCCAAGTAACCACTGATGAAAATGGGTGAAAAGCTTTTGGTATTATGAAATTGACAACCTTGTTGTTGTGTGCCGTCATCAGGCATGCCGTCGTCAGGCACAACTACCGAATTAAGCTGTGTGGACCCTGGCTAGCGCCAGACGTTACTAAAGTAACGTCTTTTGCATAGCTACGGGAATAAAGATCTCATCTAATGGACTTTTCACATCACCTCTATCTGCTAACTCTCGCCTTCAAACTTTGCGCTTTCTTTTTGTGCGCTTTGGTGTGTGGCTGGGTATATTTTCTAGTGATCCGTACAGCCCTGCCTCAGATTGTATGTTGCCTGATGATTGCTATTTTGAGAGCATGAAACCCCGGGTAACAACGGATATGTTTCCTTGGTGAGGACTGCTCCCATCGTGTATCGTGTGTCTGTCCGCAGATTGAGTATATTAAAAAAAAAAAAAAAATTTCACGGTTCGCGTGAGACTCGGCCAAAGGCCCAGTTTTCCGCATCCGCAGGAACGCCACCACCCTCTTGGATCAAGGCGCAGATGCAGCTCCTAAGCGGTGGGAGGTGAGTAGATCAGACCCACCACAAAGTGGTCAAAGACCGAAATCCCATTCACTGCATCCATGTTTCCCTCGTGCCAGGCCACGAGTTCCCAATTAACTGTGGGTCGCAGCACGGCTGGAAAAAATCCTTCCGCTTCCAAGCAGGACTTGAACCTGGTACCCTCTGTTTCTCAATCATGGTCTTAGACCATCCCACTATGCCTGCCTGCTATATATTGAGTATATATATTATATTAATTATAATTTCAAATAGGTAATGAGCCTGAAGTGTGTCCTTTTTATGAGTATTAATTATAATTATATATAATTATATCTTGACTAGTTTGAGGGAAAGACACAAACGGGAAAAGTCTGAAGAAAAAATCGACTGTCACCACCAGGACTCGAACCAGGGACCCTCGCTTGTAGCTAGCGATGCTCTAACCACTGAGCTATGGTGTAGTCGTCATCCCAGCAGAGACCACTAATTATATATAGGGGTGAAAGTGGGCACTGAGATCCCGAGTCCGAGTACTCTGATTTTCTCCAATCGAATATTCGAGTATTCTTTATCTCCTAAAAATTGCACACCAAGGGCCTTAAAATCACGCTAGAACCCTGATTAAACCGAGTAGCAGTCCTTTTTCTCGGGTATATTGGTTGGTGGGTCATTTGGGCTCTCTCTACTCGTGAACAAATGTTCACCACACAGTCTGCACATCAATATCTACCAACTGCTGCTCTGAAACTGCAGACTCCTGTGGTAAATGCATGTACCATGTATGAGCGAGTACTCTGATTTATTCCGAGTACGATTATTTTTGAAAAAAACCGAGCGAGTACTCGAGTATTCAGTATAATTGTTTCACCCCTAATAATATATGATACTATATGTATAGATTATAGACCGGTTAGGTCTATACAGGATATATAGACCAACTATGAGGTCTATAATCTATTTATCGTGTTCTCCACGCAATAGTTTCTCTTCATATACGACATATCCTTGTAATTTTAGTATTATACTATAGCCTATACCACATTGTACGGCATTGCAGGATCAAGGTCATTGTTCAAACTCTCTCTCTCTCTCTCTCTCAGGGAGGGAGGGAGGGAGGGAGGGAGGGAGGGAGGGAGGGAGAGAGAGAGAGAGAGAGAGAGAGAGAGAGAGAGAGAGAGAGAGAGAGAGAGAGAGAGAGAGAGGAGAGAGAGAGAGAGAGAGAGAGAGAGAGAGAGAGAGAGAGAGAGAGAGAGAGAGAGAGAGAGAGAGAGAGAGAGAGAGAGAGAGAGAGAGAGAGGAGATAGAGGGAGAGGGAGAGAGAAAGAGAAAGAGGGGTCTGCGTGTACTTGTAGAACTGTACCTGGAGAATGACATAGACGGTCTCATTCGATGCGTTGGCATTGTTTTGTTGGCTATACGTGTAATCCACTCGCATCAATGTGTCCAATTCCTGAAGCAATGCCTGACCAGGTTGGAGGACCCCAGGGCACACTGCACGGCAAGAGGCAATCGAATACGCATACGGACGCGCGGACGCATACACACACACACACACACACACACACACACACACACACACACACACACACAAACGCACACACACACACAAACGCACACACACACACAAACGCACACACACACACAAATGCATGCACACACACACACACACACACACACACACACACACACAAACACACACACAAACACACACAAACACACACACAAACACACACACAAACACACACACAAACACACACGCACACACGCACACACGCACACACACCTCAGACCTCAGACCTGCCCATCGCAGAAGCAATGATAGCGAACAACTATGTTAGACATAGTAACTAGTGCTGGGATTACACCATTCAACAGCTTGCAAGGCTGATGAATTGGCCGCCACTAATTTTAGCCTGGTATCCACCACACAGCTGATTGAAGTGGCTTTTTCTGGCCAGTGAATCCCTTTTTTTCTGTTTTCTTTTTTTGTTTTCATTCTATTTTCTTTTTCGACACACACATACCACACCACATACTCCGGCATGCACTGGCTGTTGGTAACCACCCAGGAGAAAGAAAGAAGAGCTACGGGAGAATGAGAAAGACACACACACACACACACACATACGGTGGCTTGAACACACGGTGGCGGCACGCATGAAGCGCAACTGCACTGCATACACCCGCCAGCTAGGAGCAAAGCTCTACTAAGTCGCACTGCTTGAGCTGCTGCCCCCACAGTGGCACATCGTGTATGACAGCATGCTCACTGTGGCACATTGTGTATGACAGCATCCTCATAGCTAAGCACATGCTGCATACTGGAAGAAGATGAAACGGAAGGCATTGAATAGATCTCCTAGATACTCTAATCTGTTGGAGGTGGCGGTGGTAGTGGAAAAGACAGCGGATGATGGTGGTGGTGACCAAGGCAGAGACAGCGGATGATGGTGGTGGTGACCAAGGCAGAGACAGCGGATGATTTGATATGGAGTGTATAGCTGGTGGCTATGTCACAATGTGAAAGAATGTAGGAACCGTGATAGCGCTATAATAAATAGGTTTATACTTTATAGTCATATTATGACTATAAACCTAAGTATTGCATGGTGTACTCAGCAAATATAAAAGCCACTTTTACGGGCAAGTCAACATGCATTATCATCAAACTAAAGTGATTGGGGAGATCAAATCAAAATAAATAATTGAACACAAAAGCAATACAACATTGGTATTATTGTTTTGACCAGGTACTAGGTGGTGATCAGGGAAATCAACTCAAACTAAACTCAAAACCAATTTGTGAATGATTCAACACAACAGCAACAAAACATTGATGACATTTTGTTGTAACTGGTAGGCGGATGATGGTGGTGGTGACCAAGGCAGAGACAACAGATGATGATGGTGGTGAGTCTGGTGACCAAGGCAGAGACAGCAGATGATGATGATGGTGACCAAGGCAGAGACAGCAGATGATGATGATGGTGACCAAGGCAGAGTCAGCAGATGATGGTGGTGGTGACCAAGGCAGAGACAGCATAGGGCAGAGGCTGTGTGACATGTTGTAAACAAATCATTCCCATTGAAATTACTTACAGACGTCATCGCTAGTAGGGATGGAATCTACACTACATCGGAAAAGCGAGGAGGGAAAGTAGGCTTGCGTATTATTCCTACTGGGACGCTGGGCAAGGATGGAAAAGATGTAGCCGTGCCCAGGCAATGCGTCGGAGAAGCGTTGGAGAGTCTTGCCCACCAGTGGTGTTGAGTAGCTTGTCAGCCGATTTCCTGGGGTATCGAAACTAGCCTAAAGCAAGAAATTTAAAGTAAAACAGTGGTCCAGCAGTTTGACAACTGCCCTAGCGCCCCATGCCCGGCAGAGTACGCATGCAATTGTCGAGCTTCAATTTCAAACATCTGCTGCCCCATCTAGACTCCTGATGCAATTGTACTGTCAAAGTAAATGGCGGTCATGTTAGCACATACCGTATTGTCTCAAATATAAGCACAGTCTCCAATAATAGAACACCTTGGGGCAGCATTCAAAAAATAAAGTGCTCAGTCTCCATTATAAGCACACTGTGAAGTGCTCACTGTGAAGTGCTCTGAAAACCAGCCGGGCCTCCAATAAAAGACACCGTACGGTAGTATATGTACGCACATTGCATGTACATGTACATGTTATCACGGTCAGTCGCGCGATCGCGCGCGGTGCACCAACCTCTGAAAGGACGTTGAAATAATAATGGAACAGTCTCCAATAAAGGAACGTCTCCATTAATAGCACGTGGCGGGCGGTAATAATAATAGGGAGGTTTCGCTCTACGTAATTACGTATGAAAATCCGTATGTCGTACGCGCCGGGAAGCGAGGGCAACTTTCATACGTAAATCTCTCTACGGATTTCCGTAGGAAAGCTCTTTCCTACGTTGGGTCCTCCGTAGGAGTTTTTGAAATATGTTTCACATTTTCCGGATTTATCCAGGGCAAAGTTCAAGCCGCGCGAAACACAAGGTACACACATACCGTACACCACGTGCAAAATAAGATGGAAAACGCGGTTTCGGTTCGTCGTGCATGCAGTGGGAGCATGCAGCCAACGCGTTTCCAAAGCAACAAGGCATGTTTAGCAGTCGTGGAGAAATCACGTAGAGCGAAACCCAACAGCTCTGATTTTTACGTATGAAAATTACGTGCAGTTCCTACGTTATTTTCATACGTAATTTCGTGGAGCGAAACCTCCCTAATAATAATAATAACTTTATTAGGATGACCCAAAGGCTGACCGCCTATCGTGGGGTCCGTCGCATTGAAGGATGATGGTACAAGAGAGTACAGGTTGGGAAAGGGAGGTACATTGAAAAAATAAAGGACCGTGCCTATATTAGAGATGATACGGTAGCTGTTTTCGGTCTCTAGTACGGTAAAGTACCGCCAGAGCGCCCCACCATCTCGTCTTTTCGTGGTCGTCTTGTGGAGGTGGTTTCCTGTCTGTACGTCATATGACACGGACCTTGTACACATATTGCACGTTGTGGAGTCAATCCGTACCCAGTTTACCTTCGAGCGGATGCGAGCTCCACATAAAAACATGCCAAGTGTGACCTTAGTATACTAAGGTTCTCACACCGTACAAACTTAGTGGCACTCTGCCATACGATTTTCTTCCCTTGGCTGTAAAATCAAGGTGGGGCGCTCTCGCGAGACGGGGCGCTCTGGCGTAGAGGATATAACCCGAGTCAGAGGGTTATACCGGCTGAATATAAAATTTAATCCCGACTGCGATAGCAGGAGGGATTTATATGAGGGTACGGTATAACCCGACTACGAGTGTCATATCCTACTTATGCCAGGTACCCCTACGCATTTCCAGAACAATGAACCTATTTGGAGATCTCCTACATCATGCAGTACATGAACATGTTCTGCTGGTTTATTAGTTGTCAATTGAAAGAATGGTCGAGCAAGATAAGAAGGTGATTCCTCCTTGGATGTTTGGCATAAGATTTCCTTTTAGTTCCAGTGCATATTGTAGCATCTTGTCTCGTGAGCGGTGAGGAAGTCAACTGAATTGCTGAGGTACTGGAGTTGTCGTTGAATCAAACTACCGCCACTAGTTAGACTACAGTTTGGACTCTTTGGGAGTACTTCAAAATAAGTGTTTCCAGATTCTACAAGATACAACACTACGAATAAACGCAAGAAACTCACCCAATTTGTCAATTCGTGGAGTACGTGGAAATATTGATTGTAGCTAACACCGTAAGCAGTGAACCCACTCATCCAGTAGACAATGTCTGATGGAGGGCAGGTCGAGCTGGAATCGGCTCTAGCGGGAGCGAAGGAAATGCACGCTTCGCCACCATCAACAAGTACGGTGAGACCAGGTGATGGAAGTGAGGATGAGGATGAGTTAAAACAACCTCCGGGCAAAACATCTGCAAATACAGACAGACAGACACACACACACACACACCATACACACGCATGCACAGATGCACGCATCCACACCACACGCGTGCACACACACACACACACACACACACACACACACACACACCATGTACCATGTATACCAATGGTATACGCCCGTTGCAAGAGAAGCACGCAAATCTGCAAATGCACTGGATGGCACCCACAGATTTTCTCTTTATAGCAACGATAGCGGATCTGATTCTGAATGAAACAGATCAAGATAAGTGCCAGATAACTGTTTAATCTACACGACTGGCGAAGCCATGTGAATCGCCCCCCCCCCCCCCCCCCCCCCAAATGCACACCTGGTACATAGGAAAAGGACGGCCGTCCTTGGCCGTCCTTTTCCGATGTACCAGTCGTAGCAATATGCATACCGTAAGCCAGGCCTTCTCCGGGCTGACAACACCTAAGTAGGTCAGGCAGAGAGCAGCCTGTAGATCGAGGTATGCACCCGCAGAGCAAGTGTACTACAAAAAAATGTGCTCAGCAGTGCCAAATACATGTTAGGCCTCAAAGTTACATCATCGAAGGCCCAGGTCGGAAAAGGACGGCCAAGACAGTTACCTATGCACACCCTACACTTGCTGGGGT